ACATGCATGTACGTAAAAAGTTTAATCTTTTTCATCTAGTTTTCCCTAGAATTAATGCACGAATGGCCCAATGACAGGCTTGGAATGTTAGAAAATGCATGCTAGTGCAAGTGTGGTAAGAACCATAGTGGTACCCATGTACACCAAGTGTGTCCAGCACAAAAACTTCACTTATTACTTATACCTTCCTTTTATAAAACAAAACATAAATAGAAATCTAGATTTTCATATACTTTTTTAAAATTAAAAACATACGATACATTATGTTAATTATAGTAGCCAATAGAACTCAAAGTCGATTTAGTATTAATGCTTGGCAATCTTAAGATAATCGGTTGAACTATCAGTCTATCACTACTTGTTTGTTTCTTAAAAATTGTAATAATGTTAATATACACTGTTTTCTGTCAATAATCTGTATCTATACGCAGTGATTAACTTGTTAGTTATAGACTCTAGTATTTTTCAAATTTACTGTAATTTCGCTGCAAAACACAATTTCAGCTTTTCTCAGTGAATTGTGAAATATTTATATGTTTTTTTTCCAAAATATCAAATGTTTTTTATCGAAGTTAATGTTATTCACCGTACTACTAGCCCCAACATATTTGGGTGAAATTTAAAGTGACCACCTTACAACTGACAATTTCATTTAAATTTGATAGGTCAGCGTCAACTCACCAATTTCAAGTTTCAAAAAAAACAAAAAAACTCACCAATTTCGTTTTCGTACCAAAAAAAACTTATAATTGAAATAAATCGAATATAGAATCTGAAGATTAATTGTCTTTTGACTAGACTGTTCACTCATAAATACCTACAACATCCATCACTCTAAATCTTCATGCGGATGTAATAAGAAGGATCTATAGCTATCGATAATTGACATTATAGGATTTCAAGTAATTAATGAACAATTATACCAACAAACATATGAACCGACCGAAAATGCATATGATTTTATATATTTAACATTATACAGCAGAAACAAAAGCTACTTCAGAGATTAAAATATTTGAAAAAGATACCACACTAAAATAAGATTAATGCGACGTACTATAACTAATTAATTATTAATTACCACACATGCATACGAAACAAGACATATCATAAATCCCGACCCGGACGACCCATTCAAGTCCTTGACAGGATCCGGGCTTTGAGAGAATTCTTCATCACGACCGTAAACGCGTACGTCTCAGTCGGGTCGGGTGGAGAATCCGGAACCGGGATCCATTTAAACGAATGGATCATCCTAGCAAGCATCAAGTTGATGTGTAGTACACCCAAGGACCAAGCCGGACAGATCCGACGACCCGCACCAAAAGGCAACATTTTTACGCCACGTGTCCCGGTCCAGTCAGCATCAACACCGTCCCCGCCGGTTAAAAACCTCTCGGGTCGAAACTTACCCGGGTCCGACCAAATCTCCGGGTTCTCAGTAACCCAAGCAGTGTAAAACTCCACATATGCACCTGCCGGAATATCATATCCTCCGAGCTCCGTGTCTTTCACGGCGGCGTGAGAAAGAAGAAAATGTCCGGGAGGATGTCGTCGGAGAGTCTCTTTCACAATAGCCTCCAAGTAAGGCATTTTCGCCACGTCATCTTCTTCGACGACGCCGTTTTTGCCAACAACTCCTACAACTTCCTCGTACAGCTTCTCTTGAATGTTTTGGTCGGTCACTAGATGAAGTAAAGCCCATTCAAGCGTAGTCGCGCTTGTGTCCGTACCGGCCGAAACAATCTCCGAACATAAAGTCACAATCTCTTCCTCTCCAAGCTCGCCGCCTCTCTCGACCGGGTTCAAACCAAACAAAGAATCCACGTAAGCCGCACCAATCGGACTCACCATCTCCTCGTTAGGGCTCTCATTTGCGTCCACGAACTTACGCCGGTTTCTTATCAACGGTACAAAACACTCGAGCTGCGTCTTCCTCAGCTCTCTCGCTTCTCTTACTTGACGTCGGAACAACGGAGTGAAAACCGGCAAAAAGTCCGGTAAAGTCGGAGAAGTTATGAGCATAACGTCCTTGAGAACATTTTCTATGTTCTTGATATTTTCCTCACTGATCTTGGCACCGAAACAAAGACATATCAAGATGCTACAAATCGTCATTCTGCATTGACTCATAACCTCGACGAACCCTTTCTCGATACTCTCCGTTTTAATCCTCTTCATATGGTTCGACATAGCCCAAGTCCTTATCCACGAGCATTGCTTCACTCTCGTCGGGGTCACTAGCTCTGTCACAAAGTTTCTCCTTAGAGTTCGCCACAAGGATCCGTACTCCGCCGAGTTTATAGCGCATTTTCCGACGCTAAACATGAGGCGGATCGGCGAGTCCGGAGGCCGGGAAGCGAAGGTGGGACCGCGTTGGACTAGAGCCTCGTGGATGAGTTTTTCGTCCGTGACGATAATCATCGTACGTTGTCCCATTTGCATGGTGAATATTGGACCGAACTTTTTACGTAGGTCACGCATGAGGAAGACGAAATGGCGACGTTGGAATATGACTTGGAGTAGGTTTCCGACTAGCGGCCACCCTTTTGGTCCCGGCGGAATATTCATACGGCATTGGCTGTTTCCGGCGGAAGAGTAACGTCGCCACCATAGGTTGAGGAAGTAGAGAGCGAAGAAGAATATGATAACATCAGTAAGATCCATACTTGTTATTACT